GAGTCATGCTCACCTGTAATGATTTAATCTAAAGGTATGCGTATAATGTGGTCCATGTATAAGTTGGTCATATTTAAACCTACGAATTCTTTGCAAGCTTACAGAGTATCGATATCTGTCGTCGAGACACGTTTTAAAATACTTCAGAAGAGCGCTGCAAATTTCAGTCAAACTAGAAAAGCTCCAAAGCCGACTGCAGTTCCCCGTGAACTTTCGTTATTTCCTCATTCTGAGTTATTTTTCAACTCAAAAATCTTCAACTCGGATTTGAGTGATTTTAGTTGTTCTTAACTGCTTCATCAACCGTACTCTCATGGCAGCTATTCTTGTGGTTCGAACGGAGGTTCAATCGAAAGTGTGGCATTCAGGGCATTTACTAACTTGAACCTCATATATTAGATGTTCGATTTGGTCCGGTACTGATTAAATACAACTAACGTCATGACACGCGTATCTGGTCTCCTGTTCGTCCTTGTTGTGGTTTTAAGTTTTTCGGAAGGAGTGGAAAATTTAACCGAGCTTGAGTGGTGGGAAACAACGCTCCTCTATCAAATTTATCCCCTATCATTTAGAGACTCAAATGGAGATGGCCACGGTGATTTAAATGGTACTTAATTTCCAGTAATTACCAGTTTAATGATCAATAAGTGGACTTAATTTTGCGCGAAAAAACTACTTTTGAGACTCAATTAATTGTAGATTGTTGCACTAAGTAACTCTTTTACGATAAAATCGAGAGCGTTGAAATTGCAGTCTTTAAAATACTTAAAAACAAAAATACAGGATTCTGCTCGAAGATTTGTTATACAGATTCACAACAGATTATCCTTTCATTTACTAATTGCTTTCTTTTCCTTCGCAGGGATTTATGAGAAACTGGATCACCTCAAAGAAATAGGCGTGGATGCTGTTTGGATTCAACCTTTTTACAAATCACCGATGTTTGATATGGGCTACGATATTTCGGATTATAAAGATGTTGATCCCCTTTTCGGAACCATCGACGATTTCAAGAGGTTACAGAAGGCAATCAAAGACAAAGGTTAGTTTCAGAATAATTCGAAGAATATCCGGTGTACTAAGTAAAAGATTTCCCATCCAAATTTGTGAATTTGAAATTATTTTACAATGATAACAGATGCGAGAATGTCCTGTGTGGGTATGATTCGAGACTTAATGATACACGAAAAATTTCCATTTTTAATCATTAATAATAATTTCATCGTTTAGTTTCAAATTTATATAAAATTGTTTCGGACCGTTTGGGGTTCGCTTTCAAGTATTACACTTTTTTGCGACACAATTATCATCCTGATTATATTACTTCAACCACGTAATTATGATCAAACTTATGGAAACATTTTCAAGCTTGGATCGAAACAACGTCGGAAAAGAGACAATGGTCCACGCAGTGGTGGGACATAGTCACTTGTTTTTAATTGTAGTTGGAACTCATTTTATTAGGCTTCAGCCACAACGGATGGGGTCCAGCTGAAACTCTAGTTGAGGCTACAACCCCAATTGCTTGGATTATATTTTGCATGGAAGAACCACAATTTTTGGTTAATTTTAGAGACAACCTATGGACCATTTACATATTTCCCTGTGCAGATCGATGGTAATATGGATGAGCTAGAAAGATTGGTTCCTTACTGCAACATGTAGTCCAATTGGGGGGGTTTAGAGGACAAGGCGCATAAATACGAGTACATTTTTTGAAAAAAAAAAGAGATACCATTGATTTCAAATAAAACTAATCTTGATGCATATTCTGTGAAAAATTCGCTCCCGAATTCTATTTTTTAAGTTTCAAAAAGTCAGTTTGGACAATCTCCCGTCATAAGGATCCATGTAATTTTGAAACTTCAAACACGTATTTCTCGAAACGGCAAAAACTGCACTTATGCGCCTTGTCCTTCAAGCCGCGCCTTGTTCCTCAATCAGTACATCCAATTTTTGGCTGGACCCTTCACCTCTAAAATTAAAATTTTCCATTCTAAACAGGAATGAAGTTAATCGTGGACTTCGTACCAAACCATACAAGAGATCAAAGTGAGTGGTTCAAACTCTCCGAACAACGCGTGGAACCCTACACGGATTATTACATTTGGAAGAACCCAAAACGCATCAATGATACTCATACAACAGTCCCGAACAACTGGGTGAGCCAAGAGATCAGGAGCAGTGGCGTGGCGTGCTTTGCGAGATATCGAATGATGTGCCATTTAAACCGATGGAAAAGGATCGATAAACAGGGTGTGCGCAGCAAACACCTTAAAAATCGATGCTTTACAATAGGTTTAAATTACATATCAATCGATATATCAGTGCGAAACCACGTACCTCCGATTGCGACCGTGAAGACTTCGTATCATTCATTATATTATCTTTGAAAAACGAGTCCACGAAATTTCTTAAAAACTTCCTTGATTTTTCATTAAGTACAGTGAACAGAATATTCTCCTTAAATGTCAAGCTTTAAAGGCTTGTCTCTCCTCAAAAAAATTAAATAGGAGCGGAAATTCTGAAACACCGCAATGGAGATCGGACGCAGTGGTTTCGTATAGATATTGTCTTGTTATCCATCTCATTAAAAAAATGAGACAACTTTGTGACACTGATAAAACAATTTTCTAAAAAGGGTCCGATTAAGAGACAAAAAATGAACTCAATTTAAGTATTTTTATCTACATGTAGATGGCTAAAGTGCAAAGCCGCGTATCTCCGTTTATGCGACGTTGTGGACCTCCTGTCATACTTTACTTTATCTTCGGAAAACTGAACGTAATTTTTTGAATGCCTCCTTCATATTTCATCCCTGCACCAGCAGAATATTACGTATAAATTTCAAGCCATAAAATTGGCTTGTTTCTCTTTCAAAAATAAAATATGAGCGGAAATTTTTAAACATCGCAATGGAAATAAGTGGTTCCGTACTTTGGCCGTCGATATATGTGGGAAACTACGTTAATTCAGATACAGAGCAGATAGGGTTGTTTTTATTAGTCTTTCTCAATTATGTCTAAAGTTTGAAAATCATCGAAAACACCTCTGATTAGTGGCAAGATCTTTCATTATTCGGTGAATTTTTAAATAATCTGAAACGCTTTTTTAACTGTTGGTTTTTACAGAAAAGTTTCTTTGCTTGGACCGCATGGACATGGAGTGAAAAACGAAAACAGTACTACTTTCATCAGTTCTCTCCGCAGCAACCGGACTTAAATTTCCGCAATCCTAAAGTGAAAAAGGAAATGGAGGTATGACGTTTCTAAGTTTTAATTGGTTAAATGATTGATTTAGCTAGATTGTTTCGGTTAGATTTAACTCCGTTGGTTTAGGTTGTTTAATGATAACATTTTTAGTATATACAAGTAAGTAAGTAAATGAGGAAGTAAGTGAGTAAGTAAGTAAGTAAGTAAGTAAGTAAGTAAGGAAGTAAGGAAGTAGGTTGGTTTAAGTAAGTAAGTAAGTAAGTAAGTAAGCAAGTAAGTCAGATTCAGTTTATTTATAATCTGAAATGACACGAGTCAGTTTGGTGTTGGGCAGGAAGTTTTGCGGTATTGGCTGGATTTGGGGGTGGATGGATTCCGAGTGGACGCAGTGATTTGTTTGTATGAAGCCGAGCATTTTATGGACGAACCGCCAGGTTTTGGCTGGGATTCTCGCACTTACACCATTGAACAGCCGGAAAACGTTGAGTTGATCAAGGAGTGGAGAGCTCTCCTAGATGAGTACTCTAAGAAAGATGGGCGGTCCAGGTAAATCGTGTTTACGCTTCATAAGGAAAAAGATCGTAAGAACATTCGAATGGTACCGAATTCCAAGAAATTCTCTGAAAAACTTGGGATGAAAATGTTTGAAAGTTTCCATGAAAATTCGTTCTTGATAAAAAAACGTCACAATTTGATTTATAGTTAAAAGCTTTTTTTTAAGAAATCAAATTAATTTCACCGTTAAAATTGCAATTATTTCTATACTGAAAATGTAGGGTTTTAAGTTCAACTATAATAGTCTATGTTTCATTTGCTAAAATCTCATCAGGCGTTGGTCTGTGACATGGCAGTAAGTATTGGTAAAAGTTTTTTTTTTTCTTCTTGTTCTCTGAATTCACCATATTTAATGTAAATGGTATCATTCATTTAAGGTTCGCCTTCAATTTTACTGCATAGGCAACATACCTACCGGGGTGCAGGAATAAGGCACCTAGCAGCACCTATCTATCCGTAAATACCTATTAATTCCGCTTCATATTTTTGATAGAGCCAACAGACCATGCGAAGACTTATTGACTAATATCGTCCAACTAAAGTTCGCCTGAAATTTTGCCGTATAGCCAAAAAACATACCGGAAAGCGCGAACAGTTATCTACTCGATAAATACACATTTACATCATGAGCTTTGATTAAATTGATGAACAAACGACTTAATATATTGAGCCTTTCGGTAGGAATCTGATAGAGACTAGGTGATAGAGACAGATCAGATTTGAGTTAAATATTATTTTGTGTTTATTTTCATGTTTTCCAGATTACTGTCTATTGAAAATTATGGCCCACCTCCGAAACTTTTGGAGTATTTTGGGAACAAGACACATCCTGGATCTCATATTCCGTTTTACTACTTCTTAACATTTGCAGAAAACGAGTGGAATGCAACGGTCTTAGATTTTTTTATTCACTGGCAGACGGATGTTCTCCCAAGGAGCTCCTACAATTGGGTGGTAAGTCGTCAGAAATTATACTATTGTACAAAGAATTATATATAATATAAAATATAATTAAATTCATTGGAGCCCGAAATGATATGGCACCAAAAACACAACCTGGGGGGAAAAAGGCTAAAATTGAGGAGATATTCAAGACGTTTCGCCCGGATGCCTGGACTTTTTCAATCGACAAAAAAGGAAACACCTTGGTTCCTTGTTCGTTTCCTTTTTTCTCGATTGCGAAAAAGCCCGGGCATTCGGGCGAAACATCTCTAATATCTCTTCAATTTTAGCCTTTTTTCCCCCTGGATGTGTTGTTAGTACTATAATTACGTACATATAATAATAATGATGATGTGAGCTCTGCAGACGCGTTTTGGGTCAACTTGGACCCATAATCGGTGCGCCGCAGCTGCAGTAAATGGTAGCATTTTTAGTAGTGATATAGGTAGGCTGGTTCAATTAAAATGTGTCTAATTGTTGCAGCTTGACAACCACGACAACCATAGAACAAGTTCACGACTTTTCGACGAGAGTGTGGACGTGTGGAACATGATCGTCCTGCTGCTGCCGGGACTTGCGAGTGTGTACTACGGGACCGAGCTCGGAATGGAAGACCTGAAACTTCGCAGGGATCAGGGCCAGGATCATTTCAACGGAGGTCTTGGGCGCGTTGACCGAAGGGACGCCTATAGGGGACCCATGCTCTGGGACGACACCGAAAACGCAGGTAAAATTCAAAGTCAACGTGTATATATCCCCTCAGGGGAAGTTGTCCTAGTTACATTGACTTTTAATTTCTTTCTTATAAGTAACGAGGAACAAGCGAAAAATTCAAACAAAAAGCGTTGGAAAAAATTTATTTGAAGGATTTTATCCGAATTGCATAAGGGCTATAAAATTCCTTTCCATAAGGTCTGAAGTATAAATAATATTCGTTAGTAACTAGCATCTTGGCTGAACCACAAAATCTTGGCGTTAATTATGGTTTTGAATGTAAACAATTTCTTATCGTTGCCCCGATAATGAAGTGGTAAAAAAAAAAGAAAAAGAAAAAAAAAAAAAATCCACACCTTTAGAGACTTGAGTACAATTAACTTTTAATTGCTAGGGTGGGGTAACGAGTAATTTGAAAAAAAATTATGAAACCCGATCCGAAAAGTTCCAACAATATTAATTATGGTGTTGTTCAGCAAAAATCTCTTGACCACGGTTTCAATTGATCAGTCTCGGCCATCAAAACTTATTTAGGTGAGTGGCGTTAAAATATTGGAAAAAAGAGAAAAAGAAATGTTGAAATGTTTGCCAGTTACAGGAGAAATATGGCGGTTCGTAAGAGAATTTGTTTAATCTTCCGCTTGGCCCTTTTGACTTCGAATCTTATATTATTTCATAGGCTTCACATCAGGGGAAAAGCCTTGGTTGCCCGTGCATCCAAATTTCTGGCGGACGAATGTCAATGCTCAAAAACGGGACCCGAAAAGTCACCTGAATACATTCAAACGGCTTGCAGCTCTGCGAAAGACTCCTATTATGACACACGGTGACTTCCATACACACGTTGTCAGAACTTGGGTGCACATGTTCACAAGGCAAGTAACGATGCAATAACAACAAATAAATTATTATTATTTTTTATTTTGCCCAATTCTCAAAAGTTGATTTTGGATAACTAGACGGTCCAAAGCCGGGTCCATTTAGTAACAGAATACTGATTAAGGGTAACAAAAAATCCAAAAAACTCAAAATACCAAAAAAAATTTATTTTGATGAGGGTGTTACTTCTAAATCAATAAGTAAGGACAGACATTTTAGTATTTTTTTTCTTTTTTTTTTAAATGGAATGAAATTAATGAGGAATGCTCGAAGTTGAACTTAAAAATTGTGAGCACTTTCATTTGTGAGTTTCATCTGCATGTTTGTTTTTAAACTGACTTTGCTTGAAATAAATGTTATCATTAAAGTAACATTGTAACCACAACTAGAAAAGGAAGTAGGACCTGGAATCCATGATGAACATTTTAGAAGAAACGATTTCTCTTTTCTCCGTAATGTGTCGTGGCTCATTGCACGCGAGAGACACAGCCGTGTGGATACACTTTTTAGTGACGATCATATCGTATCTTTTAATTATCTCAAAGTAATTAATTTTCATTTAATTTAGATCACTGGAAGATGAAACCATCGCGGTACTGGTTAACATGGGCTCAGAGACGGAGGAAATTTGCACCAAACATGTTGGATGTCAAATACCCGGTAACATGTTTGTGCAGACTCGTAGTGAAAATTCTGAACTGAATATTGGGTAAGAAAAGGCAACATGTACCTTGCCTATGTTCGATTGTTTTGATTTAGAGATCTGTTATGAAATGGAAGTCGCATCGCTTCAGTTACTTTCCATGCAATCTATCGTCGGCATGAACTCAGACATATGAGCAGGCTTAAGAGCGCCTATTAACGGATAAGTGGAGCAGTATATGATTCAAGAACCCTTAAAAGAACAATGTGCACTAGATTTCAACTGTCAAATACATTCTCAAGTGGTACTTCTACCTAAATTCAGGTATATTTGTCTACGTATGTAGGCTAAAAAAGTCGCCAGCAGAAATCAGTCACACACTGCTCCGAGAGAGAGGGGGAAACAAATTTAATGATAAGCTGAATTCAAACGGTTATCACACGAAAAATCAAATAAAAATTGAACTCAAGATGTACTAAAGTCAATGCTCTTTCGTTGACGCAAACGATAAAGAAAAACCGCGCATAGCTACGATCGTAGATAATAAAACGAATATCTATCTAAGTAGATATTAAAACGAATATCTATTTAAGTGGATATTACAATAAATGTGCTGCTTCTAGCCGGTGAGTCTGAAAGCAGATATTTGCGTGAACTTGGAGATAAATCTTTCGTGCCTAGTTTCCCGCAGTTAAGGAGCGCATAGTTTGCAAATGTACTTTCACGGTGCAGGGTAAGAGGTAAAAAAAAACACAAGCGATGAAAAAAAGTCAGAATTAGACTTAATTAAGTTTTAAATGTGATAACAGTACTCAATTAATCGTTTAATTTTTTACAGGGACAAGGTTTTTTCAAACTCAAAAAGCAGCAGATGCATCCATATGAGGCCATACTCAGGGCTGGTTTTGAGCACGAGCGGAGCAGTTTCAGTATATTACTCGATTTTCATTCTCCTTTTTGCAATTTTCTCCAATTTCATTTCGTAAAATTATTTAGAAGTAAAAACGTGATTAATAAAGTGTAAATGCATTGCCATTGTCTCTCTCCATCAATTTGATCTTTCAATTTTTTTTTAGGATGAAACGTGTAGTCTAATGTAAGAACAGAATATTTGCCTGTATGCAGCTATTCGTGCCTAAGAGATATCTCTGTAGGATAAATGAAAACTTGAAAGCGAAAATCTGGATCCGCAGTTAAGCCCGCAGTTGGCGCCGCGCCGCACCGCGTACCGCGGGTGAAGTGGTGAATGCCTGGAAGTCAAAACGCCTTCACTACCGTGCGTATGCAACACGGACATCCATAGAGTTCGAATAGTTGCATCCAGGAGTTGAAATAAGATTTGTGTGGCGTCTGTAGCATTCGACACTAACTCAGGGTGCTTTACTTATTTCTCTTGCGCCGTAATTAATTCCAGCACTGCCCATCATTCCGATGAGGTAAACTGTTACTGATTTTTATCGCGACATAGTCGATTTTCCGAATAAGGGTTTGATTTTTCAAATATATAACAACATTGCTGTCCTAAAATGTGGGCTGCGGCCCCTACCTTCTCTAATCTAAGGATGACGAATATGGCAAAGTCATCTCATGATCACTCCAGAAAAAATTCGCATCTTTGTATTTTTTTTTTTCGTTGAAGAGTTCGAAAAAGTCCAGAGAGAAATGTATATCGACGTACGGTTAGCCCTATCTGCGTCGTGTAATATATCGATTTTCAACTCTTTTCGCGCCGACATAAGTTTTAACAATTACGCTGCTGATAGATATCCAGATCCCACCGGTACAAGAAATAGCTCCCTTTCAAACATATACCTTCATGTCCTAAAAATGATCGGGAAAATTAAGGTATCGAAAATCAATGTCGAGGCGTGAATGATCGATTATCGACATTTTTCCATTTGAAGCTGTGACAAAGAATCGAATCTCAAGGTGTCCGTTGCGGACACCTTGTTTATATCGATCCTTTTCCATATGTTTGAATGGCATATTGATCGATCTATCGCATAGCACGCCACGCCACTGTTGAAAATGTGTTTTAAAATGAGAGACAGTACCTGAGAGATAATGATGTCCCCACAAGGAGCTGTGCTGGAGGTACTCGTGGTCTCTGATGCTGGGATTGAGAGCATTCTCTTGTGGTTCAGAGAAGTCGAATCCTTCGTACTGATCTTCGTCGTTGCTCGGGCCGTACGCCCTTTGGCTCACCTCCGGCAGGTCCAAGTACACGTCCGGGATGTCTGCCTTCCCCAGTCGACTCACCAACTCCCGCACCAGGTTATTGTTGTACGGATACAGGTTCAACTGCAATCGCAAACCATCAAAAAATAAACTCGAGGTTAGTCCAAGATGGATTGCACTGGAAAAAAAAAAAAAACCACATTGGATCTAGAGTCCAGACTCTTGAAAACATTGACAAGAAAAAGGACTCTCGATTCAATCAGATTTAAGCTTAAATCAAAAGGAAATCCGCTCAAATTAAGAGGCTTCTTGAGGCTTATTGGGTTCTTGATTTAAGCTTAAATCTGATTGAATCAAGAGTATTTCTTCTTGTCGATGTTTTTAAGAGTCTGGACTCTAGATCCAATGTGTTTTTTTTTTCCAGTGTGCATATTGCAAAAAGGAACCAAGAGCATCCGAATGTTGCAAGGATTGTGCAACTCACATTCTTCGCAATAAAATGACTGAAATCACGCAACAAATTAAATTTACGTGGGTAATTTTCGTTTTAAATTTATTGTTTATTGGGAATGAAGATGAAACTTGTTTAGATGACCAGTTTTAACTTCCAAAGTAAAAACAGTTGCACAATCTTAGCGACATTGGAATCCTCTTGGTTCCTTTTTGCAAAATGCGATCCAGATTTAATGTGATGCATTTGGAGACCCCGCACTGCAACCTTGCCTATACTGTCCTGCTAAGGGAAAACGCCGTATGAGCCTTCAGACGTTGCCAAATTTTTTCAGTAAGAAACGAATTTGTTAGGAAAAGTTTGAATATTTTTTCTCCAAATTTTCAGACAAATCACAATATAGTCTAAAAAATCAGAAAATGTCAAATAATAAAATAGTCATAACTTTCTGCGAAATAAATATCGGAGTGAGAATTAATTGAACGTGGATATTCCTACTTGCTCTGCACGTGGGGTTTATATTGTTTGGATTGAGAAAGAGCAGACGATTTCATACAGACGCTCTAATCTCCTCCGAATAATTATTCGGAGACAAAATCGAATGTTTTAATCAAGATTTCATGACTTGTGGGGGTCGTCGCCGACCTTGGTCCCGATCCTTAAGGGATTTGGCATTTATGAATACGAAATGATTAATTAAATAAACCGCTGGAGACTCACTATCATCGACTTCCGTTGGATATCGATTCTGTCCCTCACCAACGTTTCAGTTTCATCTAATTAACACAGAATTCTTCACTGAATAATCAGTGAATTTTTTTCACTGGCATTTAAATAAAAAATTCTAGCCGATTATTTTCCTCGGTGTGGTAAAAAAATAAAAATAAAAGGGAACAAATTAATAGCTTTAGAATATAAACTGATATCGAAACAGAGTAGGTTTCTCTTTTCGCAATGTAGATCTACTATAAACTGATTCCCTCGGACGATTATTTCTCAAAAAATATTCATCACCATTTTTAATATCGACTTGAATACTTCAATTTTATACTTCAAGCCTACTTGACTTCTTCAGAGTTAAGAAAAAAAAATTGTTAGGGACCGTTCTTAAATTACGTAACGCTCTAGGGGAGGTTATAGGACATTTCGTCAACGACTTTTTGTCCGCGCACCTGTTTTTTCCAGTAATTTACGTCCACGCGTTTTTTCGGCATGGGAGTTTTGGTCCACGTGCCAGCTGAGACCCAAAGTTAATTGGCCCACATGTAAATACAAACGACAATTGCTCACGACGTTTTTGGATGAAAATATATAATGTCTTGGAAGAATAAGGGTTTGCTTGTTTTTTTTTGTTTTGTCTGTTTGATCCAACGGAGAATAATATATAGTTGAGAGTTTTGGTAAAAACGGGGGAGCGTCAATTCTATTAGACAAAATTCACTAAAACTCTCTACACCTCTTTGGTGTAACAGGACTTAATTATCTTTTAAAATTCCCACCTTTTTATACCTGAACCGGATAAACAGCTCTATATTTGCTTCAGCTAAAGGCTCTTAGATTTTTCCTGTGGACGATAAGTATCTTGATTCATTTTGCGAGGAAACATCTGTACTTTTAAAGGATGCCTATCATTTTTAATACGTTCAATTTCGTATGATACTGTGCAACACCTCTGCTGTGTAATAGTTGCTTCAGGCGCCGCCGCACGGCGGGCGGGCGGTCAGCGCCAAACGCGCATTGGCGCCTACAAACCTAAGTGGATACTTCAAGCATTGTGCAATGCGAGAAGTATCCACCTAGGTTTGTAGGCGCCAGTGAGCCTCTTACGCTGGCAGCACGCTACTCCGCTTTGTTATAGGCTCTAATATTTATACTCGCATAGTCAGCGTTTTTTAACTGATGATTTTGAAATGTTTGCACACTCAGCATTGATTATTCTCATTTAAATTGATGGAAAAAAATAAGTATCAATTTATCAAAAAAGAGTTATAATATAATGTGTCTTTTAAATATTGGTGGTTCCGTGTCAAATGTAATGATTTCCAAGGCACTTTAATTTTTTATTTTACATTTTGTGCTTTCACTGTGCTGCAGCGAGGTGTACGCGGTACAAAACGCTCAAAATTTGACGTATTTGACTCTAAGAGATCGATGAACAACTGGGTTAAAAGTAAAGATTGCGTGCTTCTTGGTTTTTTCCTCTTTTCTTCATATTCGCAGTTTCTTTCAGCACAACTGCGGCTCATTGAGATTAATATCGCACGCAAATTTTTTATTGCTTCATCTGAAAGCGCCTGAAGAGTTGATTTTGCAGTATTTTGTATAATTTTTTCTGCAATGGGAAATAGTATATAACTATATTTGGACTGCATTTTGCAATTTGGACCTATAATTTCCGGCCCGGTTTAAAAACAACGTATGTGCCATTAGTTTCCCTACGCACATAAGTGTTTTTTCAGATGAGCCAGTATTTATAGGTCCAAATTGCAAAATGCAGTCCATTTAAAAGTGAGAAAATGCTCCGCTTAGTGACGTCATCTGGCGGTATTTCCCATTGAAACACATGTGTTTTAGCAGATCAGGTTATTTTGTCAAATCTCCTCCAATAATTGCTCAATTTATGAACCAAGAGTATCCTCGTGTTCACCTCACTTGGTAGCGTCCACTTGGACACGGAATTCATCAAATTTCAGACACCTGCAAATTCTCCATTAGCTGTTTGAAACTGAGTATTTTGCGTATCTCAAAAACACGGGGGGTTAAACTTTTCCATCATCCCTGAAGAGATCATGTCATGTCAGGGTGGTAAAAAATTGTTCGAGAGGTCACGGCCCACGAGGGACTTGCCCACGAGGAGCGGGTCCGGAGCGTCGACGCCGTTGCTACGGGGATTGGGAAATGTTTCCAAGTCGTGGGCGAAAAAAGCGAGAGTAATGGAAGTTGGATGCCGGGAACTTGCGAGACACCTGGAAAAACAAAGTTACGGGGGCGCGGGATCCCACCCTTTCCCGGGGCTTTTACTTTTATGTTCCCGTCGGCCCCGTCGGGGCCTCAACCGAGTCTGGACCCTCGAGCCCTCCACGTATGCTGTCAGATTTTTCCGCCCGGAGAGGGAAAAACAAAAGGCATCGTTCACCGAAAATAAAGGACTTTTAGGATAATTTAACATTCTAGATGTAAGAAGTGTGCTACAACTCATATAACGCTGAGTTAACCGCTACAGCAGTTACTTATTAGCAATGTCAAGATGTAAAACTAACTGATTTAACATTCTGGATGTAAAAACGTGCGCGATAGCTCACAAAACGCTGAATTAACTGCTACAGCAGTTACTATCTTTAGCAATGTCAAGATGTAAAACTAACTGATTTAACATTCTGGATGTAAAAACGTGCGCGATAGCTCACAAAACGCTGAATTAACCGCTACAGCAGTTACTTCGTCGCTTGGCTGACATAAGGGCGTAACTACACATTGAGATGAGCCCGAAAAAGCATTGAAACGTACGGAAGACAGGGCTCATTGCATAGTGCAGTTAAGCTCTTATGTCAGGTAGGCGACGAATTTAGCAATGTCAAGATGTAAAACTAACTGCTGTGACTGCTGCGGCGGTTAATTCAGCGTTTTGTGAGTTGTCGCACACTTTTTGACATCCAGAATGTTAATCCGGCATCCTTTTTTGCGGTGTTACTGTTATTTCATCGGTGGGAAGTGTAAATTTGGCAGTAGTATTTAAATGATTGAAAAGCGAATCAGGTATAAGTAGCTGAGTCAGCATCCAATGGAACTCTCCAGGTGGCGGAGGTTAATATCGTCACCTACCGTCCAATGTATCACAAGCGTCATGCGAAGTTTCAAAATTTTCGCCGCCGTTTTATTTTTTTACAGAGAAATTGTTGTACAAAGCTGTCCGAGAATTTTACTGAATTTTCTTTGTGCTGCCGATAAAATTCAGTGTAATTTTCAAACAGATTCAGCCGACAGTTTCTCCGTAAGAAAATACAAAAATAGCGGCGGAAATTTTGAAAATTCGCATGGCGCTTGTGATTCGTGATACCTTGGCCGGAAGGTGATGATATATGCCGTGCTCTTTCCTTTCATGAGAAACCTTACACAATATCGTAATCGAAGCAATAGTTATTTGTTAAATGAAATGATAATCGAAATGAAAAAAAATAACGAATGATGCTTGAAGAGAGCAAAACTGATGATACAAATATTTAAACTTATTAGTATCGTAAATTGCATAATCAAGTACCCAAAGGCTCCCAGTTTTTTGCTCGTATCCTACCATTCTGGCGATTTTGAGGTACAATCAAATAACTTTTTCGATTTTGTTCTCTACTCTTCAATTCTTCCTCACCGTAAAACTTTTACGAAAAGTATATCTCCAGCAAAAGTATGTTTTAATGGCTTCTTTTGGCGTACATAATTTAAAGCAGGTGTGCGGTCGAAATGGCATAAAGCCACCTTTTCTTACTTTCAAAGAAAACCACGAAAAAAGGTAATTCTTTCTGTTCCTCTCCTTCTTTTTTTGTCATGATAAATTTTTTGTTGAGCACGATATTTATAATATATTTCACCTATTCAGCTCACTCTGTTTTGAGAATCACCCTATTCAAAATTGATTTAATTTACGTCTCGGAATATTGTCTACGTATGTTATCGACCGAACTTTATTTCAGTGTTAACCGTGATGTCAAATGTAAATTTGGCAAACCTGCCATGGGTTCCCTGCATTACAGTAAACTGACGAATGTTTCAAAGGGCAACCATCCCACGCAGTTCACTCTGAGGAAAAGTTTTCGAGATTGCCAGATAACTGAGTTTGGAGAATTGAACTATTACCGATCTGCAGGTTCGACGATGCCCAAAGGCGCACATTGTAAGATGTTCCTTGAAAGCTCTAGGAATCATTCGATCTTTGTGCACCCCCCTTAAATAAAAAATATTTCAATTTCTTTGTTTTAAAAATGTGCTTGAGGGGGTCATACGAGCTCCGGGGGAAGGGGGGAGGGAAGGCGCATCGGCAAATTCCTCAGTCAACCACAGATTCACGTCTGTTGAAGTTAAACTGCAGTCATCCGCGACAACGATTCTCTTACTATTTTTACAATCTCCGCAATCTCCCCCAAATCTTCTTTCGGAGGTGTTGAAGAAAAAGCTCAAAATTTATCAGTGGCATCTCTGTACTAGCTTACATAATATCATCATTATTCAGATCACTCAGTTATTTCCCTTTCAGTGAGTGATTCCGCTAAGCTGCTCGCTGCGTTGTGGGGAGAGGAGGAAATGGGGTTTCATCGCAGCATTCTGCGACTTCGTAAAGAGAAGCACATTCGGGGATCTCGTCAAGTTTTAATTAAAACCGAAAAGTTGAAGTGAATACACGTTCACTCTCGAATGTATTTAGCTGGGATTCGCCGTTGTGGGGATGAGATTATCTCCCTGGATCCCCCGCACGGGTGGGGGGAGGGGAGGACATCAGGAGCAGGGGATTAAAGCCCCGAGGTCTGCTCTGGACATCTAAATTCTTACGACGCTCGGGGACGCTGGGATACGCGGTGCTCTTGTAAGGTCCTGGATTTTGTGGTTTTACTTTTTCGTATAAATTAGCGAGAAACATGATACTACTTTTGATTACGTCCAAAATCTTCTCCTAACCTTATAAAATGCGTTTCAACTAATGAGTGAAGCTGAGGGCTTTTCCGCGTGGAAAAGGCGTGCGATGGCATTTCATCCCTACCAACAGCGCTTCCTGAAAGATAAATATAAATGAAATTAAAATTTTTTAAGGAAAGCTGAAAAGACTTCCAGAAGCAAGCCTCCCTCTCCCCCTCCCGATTATCCTGATCCCAGGGTGGCATGGAACGTAAGAAAGAAATGAAAGATTGGGAATTTCAGTGAAATATTTCATGAAATTTCACAAGGCTGGGAAATATTTCATATTTTTCAGGGGCTAGAGTATGCAACCCGCACTCAAACACACAAAAATAGAAGAAATTCACGATTTTTACATTTTCTAAAACATAAAAAGAAACCGATATTTTTCAATATCTTTCATAAATTCCTAAAATTTCATGAAATATTTCACGTGAAATTTCAAGATTTTATTTTTCATGAAATTTTGCCACCCTGCCCTGTTCCCTCTTATGTCGCAGTTAATCAATGTGTTCAGGCCATGGTCATCTATAAGGGCGGTCCTGTTCAATCGACCCCTACGGGTTCTCAAATACCTGTCGAGGGTTCCCATTATTGGAGATGAAATAGATGGAAAAAGCGTAAAGGGAGCTACAAATTTGAAAAATGAATTATACAAAGTAAAAAAAAAATACTATGCGCTAAGTATCTAATGCTGGTAAGATGATGAACCGTTTATCATTTGGCAAAAGAACCTAAATGGATTTACCTCATAAGTTCTTTGGTGAGAAAACGTCCCTAAAGCTCTGTTCTAATTTTCAGGCAAGAATTTCCGGTCTTTGATCTCTAGACTTGCATCGGACAGAGAAGAGACTCACAGACATACACTACACTATTGCAAGGCTGAATAAACGTGACAGAGGGTTGTCGTGAAATCAGTTGAAAGAGAAAGAGACCAACAATAGGTACCATGTCAATCTTAAGGCCTGGATACACGCTCAAATTTCCGTCAATTTCCGATCAAAATGATGACAAAAATGGCGGTCGAGAATTATCTAGATTGATGGGTAAAATTAATTAAAACAGCGTGTCGATTGAAATGAGCATGAAATAAGCACGGTTGTGTGAAAATTAGATGACGGATGAGACTCTCAGTTCCATCATCTACCATCAAATTTTTGCAGGCCGCAAAAAATTGATGGTATGCGCACTAGTCGTACCATTTGATCGGAAATTGATGGAAATTTGAGCGTGTATCCAGACAATCCAGGCCTTTATGGAGAAAAGCACGGCACGATTCCATATCGACGGTGAAACTACCACACAACGTATCTCGTTTGCGGTGTTTGAAAAGCTCCGCCCCCATTTTATTTTTTTGACAGAGAACAAATGCATTTAATTCCTCGAAGTTTTCACAGAGTTTTCTTGCACTTGGAGGAAAAATCACGGAAGTTTTCAAAAACTGACGGTTAGTGATTTTCCATGTGTAAAATAAAGTATGACAGGAAGTCTACAACGCCGCAACCCGAGATGCGTTATATGGTAGTTTTACCGTCGATATGTTTTCTGTCTCTTAAAGTGCAGCGTTCTATTGTACAAGAATGCATGACCAAATAATGTAGCAGTGACTAAGTCCCGCTAAAAACGGTGCATGAGTACATGTTGATGGTGAAACTGCAGAAATGCATTGGGCGTTGCAGACTTCCTGTCATACTTGATTTTCTAAATGGAAAACAACAGAACGTTATTTTCATAATATTTCAGTGATGTTTCTTCTCTTCACGAAGAAGACCAGGGGCCTGTGGTTGCATTTTGTGCAATGCGAGAAATATTCACGCAGTCTTGTAGGCGCTAATACGCGTTTGACGCCGACCGCACTGTTTGGCGCGATAACTCGCTTTAGGATAATCGCGGCATCCAACAATGGGGCCCGAAAGGTCCATGTTGTGTTTCGACGCAGTATGAGCATTCCAACGTTGCCTCGTTTCTTCCGATAAAATATTTTTTCTGAAAAAAGTTAAGGAAGTTCTTTGTTCGCTTTTTTAGATTAAATGGACCATAAAACAAGGTACTTTAAGCACTCTGATACATAGCTTACATTGTTGGACGTATTTTCTCAGTTTCAAGGCAATTTTGTGCTTTACATTCGATAAAATCAATTCATCCTGGACCTTTACCACGGCAACAGGTAGTAGTAAACTACGTGTTGCCGTGGTCGCAGTTGAAGGGTGAATTGATTTTTTCGAATGTAAAGCACAAAATTGCCTTGAAACTGAGAAAATACGTCCAACAATGTAAGCTACGTATCAGAGTGCTTAAAGTACCTTGTTTTATGGTCCATTTAAAAAGTTAGAGGGGAAAGCGTGCCTTTTGGAACTCTCTCTACATATAAAGCTTTATACTCCACTCTGGAGGAAAGAAGGACACGAGTTTTGACTTACTTTATGTGGAGCGGTTGCGTCGATGCACCATATTGACCAGGCTGACAAGATCACCAGAATTTGTTCCATCGAGACGAATGTACTGGATAAACCTTGAATAACAGTAACACAGGATGTTAAAAATGCAAATGTGATAGGCAAGCAAAGAGGTTGTAAAAACAAAAATTATTCACCAATTATTATTTTGTTCAGGCAGATAGATAGTAATTTTTGAGGGTCTTAACAGTTAAACTTTTTTTTAAAAAAAGTATTTTTGAATTTTAAATTTCTCCTTCATCTTCACGACTGATTTATAAGTGTGCGTCGGGGATGTTGTTGTGATGATATCATCCGTCATTCAAGGAGTCCAATATTACTTATATCGAGAAAATTGATCCATTCAGATAAAAAAACAGTGCCTACACGCTTAACCGATAGGTATTCATTGCGCTGAGAGTAAAACTTGTTGCGTTGGGTGAAATTGTAGTTTTGCTAACTACAAACTACAACTGATTTCCTTGTCGTAACAAGATCTTACTCTACACATCAAAATTTCCCTGATTGTCGCAATTGAAACAATTTGACGGTGAAATTACCAGACTATGTATCTCGTTTGCGAAAATCTCTCGTTTGAAAAAAATCTCCACTCTCATTTTATTTTTTTGAAGGAGATCAAATCAATATCATTCCTTACAATTTTCATAGATTTTTCGCCGCGCGAAGAAGAAAAATCACGGAAGTTCTATCGCATTGACGTTGAGTAGTTTTCCATTTAAAAAATAAAGTATATCAGGAAGTCCGCGACGGCGCAAACCGAGATACGTGGTTTGGTAGTTTCACCGTCGAATTGCGTTGCGACGAGGAAACTTTCGTTGTTACAATTATTTTACCAGCGGGTCGATTGGTGGACAGTTACAGAACGACCTGATTGATGAATCCCTATTCCTGCGGGCTGATTGTTGAAAGTGATAGACAAAGCTATAGACAAATAAGTCATGGGGAGTATGAAGCGATCATATTGGTTGAAATGGGTGGTTGCTACAGAAGGATGGAGAAAATGATGGACTAACTATAGGGTCTCTCGTGGGCTGCCATTAGTTAATCTATTCCATATCTCATTCGTCCATTATTATGATCACCAATAGGATCCCTTCATATAGCTTTTAGCCCGCAGTAAATGCTACGTTCTTTATCAGAATAGTTGGAAAACGATTCAACAATCGGCCCTCTGGTGCGATAAAAGCACCTCCTTGATGCAACGACCACTTTTCCTGGTACAACGAAAAATTTTCTTTTTCTTCGCTTCGAGACGCTTCATCTTGTCACAAAGAATCCTGTTTATGTGCAATATTTCAAATGAGGAGACCATAAAAAAATGTGAGCAACACCAGTCGTCTTCTCAAATAAGCATTCACAAATTACGTCACATATTGAGGAAAGGGAGGGGTTATCGTCGCAGGTGATAAATGCAAGACGGAGTGAGGGTAGGAAGCCCAGAAATCCATTATGTTAAGGAAAAATAGGTACGAACTGCTGGTTTTTTGGCAATTTTTCGACGGATCGGGAGACATACTCGTGAATGACGTAAATTTGTTGGTTAAAAGTTGTCCACGAGTGTCGAAAAACTTGTAACTTAATTTTTGGGAGGTTTGGATTTGAGTGACAGGTGCGTGACTAAGGGAAGCATAAGGCTTGAAAGTTCAAAATTTTTGGAACGAGGTAATTAGTATTATAAACGGCCTCCAAAGCTACGCCCTTGCTAATTTAAAGTAACGTATGAAACATACGACGAGGTTAACATATGACCTTGACTGAACATTTTGAAAAACGCATAAGATTCGCTGGAGACTCCTGGTGAAGAAATAATCTCACTTTTTCAGGAGAAACACATACAATAAATTAAAAAATATACCCAAAATTTGAAGAAAATACCCAAAACTGGCCCACCACAAACGATAACTGTCAAAATCTTGTGGATGTCTCCGCAAAGCGCATGCTTCAATACACTATGACAAGTGTGTTTACGTCAAAATATCCAATCCTCAGTCCAAAAAACGAACAAAGGCTGTCATTCTCCTTCCCTTTGGCAAGACAAACAATTTTAAATGTTCAGTTTTAACATAATTTCATACTCCTGGGTAAATTTTTGATGGTTGTTTACCATAGGTGTCATCATAGACAGTTGTCCATTGAATCACGTTCGTGTTTTGAAGGACTGGCCCCTGGTATGAATTGCAAGAAAAGATATCACTGATCGAGGCACATAAGTCAAAGTTGAATAGACGCTTAATATTTGTTTAACTCACCGTTTGTGCGCTGGGAAAGTGTGGAGCAGAGGAAAATTCATATAGCCTCCATTGAACCCGACTGAAAAATCGATCGCCGTATTACGTGCGACCCACAGCGCGCGGGAAAGGGATTGCGCGCGCAGGACTCTAACCCGCTTGGCCGCGCCACTGAGCTTAATGATATCACGCCTGCCTCGGCCGCAATAATATAAAACTGCGTAACTGATATGAAAAGTCCGTGGGCATCTGTGGTTCTTGACGGCGCTGCTGTGTGTATCTATTTGGTTTGTTTAAAGAGGTTGGAGTTAGGGAACAAATGGGATGTTAGATGAGACGGATAAAGGGAACATGGAATGGTGAGCCGAATGTAACCTTGTTTGCAAATTGGCCGCCGTGTGGCGGGTATTACGAGTGAACTGTGACCTTTCGTTTGTATGAACTGAACGTGCGAATGTGGAAACAGCTGTTTACCATGGAGCTGTGGGTACGGTCAATTTTTGCACCATAATGTGTGTTTTCTTGTCAAAATTTCTAGCAAAAAACAGTTAATGTATTGACAATTTCTTTTTTTTTTTAAAAAAAAACAAGGGAAAACATACAAAGAATAAATACTAAACAACGAGAAATCAGCCTTTGAGATTCCTATTATACCCTGTTCACTTGAATTTTCTTCCTGGCAAAGGTATAATTAAAATCAGCGTAGGTATAAGATTTGTCGTCGGAAGTGAATAAGAAAGAACACAGATTTTAATCAGGCGGAATCGACTAGAATCAACCTAACTACAATTCACATTTCTCAATTTCTTATTATGTATGATACACTTTTTTAATTGAGAATTAAACATCAAACCACTGTGAAAATTTTTGTTGATTTCCTCTAAATTACAATGAAAATACTCACAAAATTTCAATTTGAAACGTTGTTAAGCTTTTTGTTGAACAAATAAAATAATAGAGCAGATTAGACAACATTTGATGTGGTTAGGCTGATTATAATCAAATCAGTCCAATTTACACTGAGAGGCTATGCGAAAAAAAGCGCCTTAAGTTAAATCTTGACACTCTCAATTGCGTCTCAATACAACTATTCGTACTTGGTGGCTGTCTGTGCTGCATATCCAATTTATTGAAGGAGTTTTGGCTTTCCTTACTCGAGGGCCGGACGCACGAGGCATTTTGCTGGCAAATCGTCAAAAGTGACCGTAGGATTTTATTTTACATCGAAGCGATGGAAAAGAAATCTTATGTTACAGCTGGCTCTCATTATTCCAATAGCGTTCGTTGAAAATGCATCTGTTTAGCAATGGGTAAATATTTACACATACATAAAGTCGCTTTCATTGCGCCGCCTCGAGCTCTGCGACGCCCAATCGCCATTGCCCCCTATCCTCCCAGAGATCATCAGGCAATTGGCACCTTCTGATCTCCTCCTCCACCCCTTGTCGCCAACCTTTCACAGGACGTCCGTGCCGTCGCCTTCCGGGAGGAACCCAATCGAAGACCTGCTTGGGCAACCGATTATCTGCCATCCTTCGCACATGTCCATACCAGACCAACTGCTTGGACCTGATATCGTGCACGATGTCCTTCTCCACACCCATTATCTCGCGTACCGTTTCATTGCGGATACGCTCTCTTCTCGATATCCCAGCAGACCTTCGCCAAAAGTCCATCTCGGTTGCCCTAAGCATGTCTTCAGTAAATATTTACGCTAGCTAATTTTGATCCAATAAAACATTTGGACCGCGTGTAGCAGAAAAGAACCAAGCCACATCAGCCGATTCCAACTTTAACCTGGCAATTTAATTTTTTTTTCAGGAGAACGTTTGCGTGGATTCTTTTGAGAATTTAAGGAGTTTGCTTCGCACCATGCAGAAAATTCACTGGCATTTGCACAAAAATCTGTGCAACCGTTTTCATGTAAAAAGTTGAATGGGCCACTAGATAAGGTACGAATTTCAGCATTCTGATACATGTTTCTTAACCAAAATTTTACGTAAAACAAGATGCACACAACGAAAATTACCGAAATCAATACCTTACGAAGATATTTAATGATTCTTAATGCGTGAATTCAAACCACCCGCTCATGAAAACTCAATGCTCTACGTGATTCACATCGCGCGCTAAGCGTTATCATGACAATCTCTGATATATAAAAATCTGGCAACCTCAATCTTGACGCTTTGGCTCAGTTATAGCAAATTGCTAATAGTTTGAACAACACATGATGGGAAATGAACATTGCTCGATTGAGAAGCTTGCTGAAACCGTTGTAGTGGGCGATTTGACTCACGTAGAGTTTTGAGTTTCTTGTGAGCGGGCAGTTCAAATTCCTCGTAACCAATGTGAAATAAAAACGTTAATATCTTCGTTAGGAGTTGGTTTCCGTAATTTTCGTTGTGTGAATCGTTTTCTACGTGAAATTCTGGTTAAGAAACATGTATCAGATCGCTTAAATTCGTACCTTGTCTAGTGGTCCATTGCCCGATTAAAGTCGGCTCCTTTGCTAGTTAGACGGCCCCGGCGTTTGCTCCTTAGTTGCCAGGTGGGTCACCTCCGGAGTTTTTTCTCTCTAAGAATATTGAATGACATTGATGTAATTCGCACCCCGTTGCCTGAAGTCAATGATTAGCCTTCAAATAGCCGGGTATGCAAAATGCCTGCCGTGACGCACGAAAAGTGGTATCAGAATTTTACATTAAGTATACAGATTGATTTGAAGGCGCTCTTCTGTATCCATTGTGCGTGGCCTTGTACAACGGCGTTGACCAAATAGTTCATAATGTTGGGTTTTAAATCTAGCCGCATATTCGAAAAATTCCGAGGAATATTATTTTGAACAAATAATAAGATCGTTTTTGGTCTCTACGTCTTATTTCAAAGAAGAGAGCGCAGGCGGCTGGATCAGACTGCGTATTTTAATTCCCTTGGTTAGGTCATCGTATTCTGAAGCGAAACTGAAATGGTCGCCGTTTACAAGATCGCAACTTACTCAAAAACAGTTGTGAATTTAGAAAGTTTCGCACGGATAAAATGAGCCTTCGTTGATTAACTATGGGAATAATCAAAATTGAAGGAAAGGTACTTTGTCCACTGGTCCATTAGGAAAGCGTAAAGCATGGATGGATGGAGCATCGATGACCAACCAAATCTTATTTGATAAGGAATTTTAAATGTGAAACCCTTTTTTCAGTCTTTAAATGATCCAAATCTACCAACAAGTTTAAGACACTAATTGCAAAAATGCGTTTCTCCTGATGAAATGTCGATTCTTAGTGCCAAAAACGCGAATCTCGGCATTTCTGCCGTATTTTCTAACAGTTCGAGAAATTATTGAAACTGCTGATGGAGTTTGAAAAAACATCTTATTCTTGATATCCTCAAGAATTATCACCCTTCTAACGACAATAAAGAGGAGTGCAGACAGTTTTTTTACTCTCCTGGAAAATCGCGTTTTCCGAGATTCGCACCTCTGCACTTTCACCATCGATAAAGTGCTTAAGTATTGTTTAATTAACATTTGCACAGGCAGTGATTGTGATTGTTCAGTCAGTATATTTTTTTTTCTCATTAATTTCTTCACAAACATTTTCAGGTATAAATGTTGCAGGCAATTAGCAATCGCCGGCAAATTGCACTCTATTCGTGTTTAATCAACAAATTAAATCGTTTTAAAGTGAAAAAACGAGATTGTAAGCAGGGTTTATTATGCTTTGAATTCAAAGATACGTTAGCCTCTTCTTGGATACATGGTGCCAGCTATCACACTCGCGAGTTCGTGAAATGTCATCAATAATCTGTGTTAGGTTCGGTTAAGCAACTAAACTAACTCCTTGGCAAAGCGGAGAGTATCGCTGGATTTGAAAGCGTTCCAAGCTGAGGTCGTGCCTTGAATTTCTCCGCTAACGAAACCTTTACTATATCGATGTTATCGTAATTACAATTTGACGAATTCACAAGTACGGAGCTTGTAAATTGCCGGCGATTGCTGACTGCCTGCGACATATACACTGATAAAGATTTCAGAGATATTTATTTCCATCTTTAAGTTTACATGTACTTTTCTCTCTTCTAATCAGCATGTGTGTTTCTTTTGATGTTTCTGGGGAAACCCTCGGAATTTTTGGATTCAACAATCGATGATCTCCCTGGACAACGCAAATCGTCAATTAAAAAATTGGGATCGTTCAATTAAACGGGACACTTGATTCTTTTGACTGAATCTTGAAATTATCTGGAAACTTAAATTTACCACAAATCCTACTCAACCGAAAACCTGATCTAACCCTGCTAACCAAAACTTTACTCAACCGATGATCTTACTCACCGGAAACTCAAATCAACCGACCAATCGTCCGGCTTTACTTAACCGGAAATCGACAACCGTAACCTCTGCTCGAGCGGAAACGTGCTCCAATGGAAAACTTGACCCAACTGGAAATTCGATCCAACCTGAAATCCGACCCATCCCGAAATTCCAATTCACTGGAACCGTAATCCATCCGTATTCTACGTGACCGGAAATTAACCCAACTGGAAACTGTTTCCAACCGGTAACGTGTCCTTGTCGAAAATTTGACTCGACTGAAAATCTGATTCGATCGGAAATCTGACCGACTGGAAACCACAATCAACGGGATTCGTTGTCCACCCGAAATTTCACTTGACCGGAAATCGAAAATCTTAATTTCTACGCGACCGGAAATGTGCCCCAACAGAAAACTTGACTCAACTGGAAATCGACCCGACCGGAAATGTGTTCCAACCCAAAGTTTGGTCGTTCTCGGATGGAGAATAACCAATTTCAATACCAATATATCATTGATTTTCCGAAAAAATCGCAAAAATTCGATATGAGCGATTGATATATCGACTCGTTAACGTTAAATATCGATTCTACAAGAAAAAATACGTAGGTGTCGGTGTACTATACAGTCATATTAGGTGCATTTAGTCATCCATGAATCAAAAATGAACAATTACTATTCAAAAAATCGTTGATATTCCGTAAAGAATCTTAAAAAATCGATAAAACCGATCGATATATCGACTCGTCAACATTAAAACTCGATTTTGCGTGTAAAAATACGTCGGAACCGGTGTGTATAACACGTGTAAACAACGATAACAACCCCGTAGACACATCAATTCAACAAGAAAATAGCGAAAAATAAGGCCGGAGTTTGACCCCTTTGCCCCCCTGTAACTCGAAAACGGTTCCTAGGTACTTATCTTGAAATTTTTTCCTGAGTTTTCTGTTATTATAAGCTTACACTTAAACCTTGGTTCGATGATCGAATCGAATACCGAAAAAGGGGCGAAATTTTGGGAGGCTCTTTCTCCGCAAAATCTGCGTATTTTTAGGCATAATCTCGCTCATTTATTTCTATTCAGAGCCTCATGTACAATCAGCTTAAAATAAGTTAAAGGCAGAGAAAGATGGGAGGCGTCCGCCGGTTTGTTTTATAGTAGACGTGAAGGAGCCTCAAAATTAAGGCGTAACTTCAGAACTAAGGAACTTGGAAAGTAAGATCGAAACTTGCTATTGGTCACGAGAAGTATATTCACTTGCTCCAAACTATGAGGAACAATTTTATTGTTTCTCAAAAGTTAAATGTAAGAGGGAAATGAGCCGAATATTAGAAATCCTTTCAGTAAGTTATGACCGAGAGAAAATACGGGTTTCCTTTTGATTACGCTCGACCGACGACGACAATATTAGTTGAGTTTTTCTCAAAACTGAATCGAACTAATTCACAAGTTTTGGCTTCCTCCCGAGTGAGATAAATGCTCCAATTTTTTGGCTAATCTCATTCGTACACAGAAATCAAAGCACAGTAATTTTAGGTCTCACATATCTCAGAGCTCTTGCCAGTGACTGTCTCGGGCGGCTCACTCTTGATTCACTCACTCTATCTTGTTCAACTTGTTAACTATTTCTTGTTTAACTTTTTCTTTTCACACTCATGTTAGCATTTTCCTTTCTTTTTCTTTTGTAATGTTATCTAGTCTAAGTTATGATTATTTTATGTTACTTATCTATTGGTTATTGGGTTCCAGACCCACTTATTAGATATTGGATTTTCTTTTTGTGTTAATAAGTTATGTTTTGGGGCCCTCGTGGCCCTGTATATCTTTGTATAAGTTGTTTTGAAATAAATAAATAAATAAATAAATAAATAAATAAATAAATAGATAAATAAATAAATATCATAATTTTAAAGTGCTTAATATTTTTTACAAATAACACCAGATTCATGGATACAGAAAAAACAAAACACTAAAAATATGACCTGAACACTGTGAGTAAAAGGCTCTATCTACCAATATTGTCCTGTGGGAAAATCAAATCCAAAAACACCAATAGATCAGAATTAGAGTTTTAAAATTAACTGTAATCCTGATATACGTGGTATCACTGGCTTCGAGTTTGTTTTTTTAAACTATTTTATCATCCTGATATTTGCAGGTAGATACATTGAATTATATTGCACGGCTCTAGAGGGGAAAGAGAGAAAGATAAAGGGAGCAGAAGAAGAAAAAAAAGAAGGCCTGACGTTTGATTATTTTTTAGTTAACGAAGGGTGTAAGTGAAATAATAGTGGTAATTATTTTGAAAAGTAACCGATCGTGCAGTAAATTTTAATTTGCCCTCTGAGGACATCGGTAAGTTGTCAGTCTGATAAACCTAGGCCACACTAAATAAATTCTAGCACACTGAATAACTGAACATTTTCAAAGTTTTGCACTCCGAAGCTCCATCAGAGTTCATTTCGTAACTCTAATTCTGATTCTAATTTTGCTATTTCTAACTCTGATTTCCCCTTAGAAATAGAAAGTACCCATCGTTGTCCTACAATCCTGTTACTTACAATATCCAAGCCACATGTTCAGTGTTTTTACTTCCAAATAGGTTCAATAAAAATTATGAGGGATTACGTGCTCTATTACCAGTTAAGAGGATCTTTTCAGCGAGATTATGTACCAGTTGCCAACATGTGCACGAGTCACCGATTTCACTGTTCACGATGAAATTGAAAATCTTGATATCTTTACACGATATGAAAAACTTGGAATCCGTTCGGCCGCAGACTGCCGTCTGCGTGGGTGTACGCTCTGTTAATCGTGTCATGACAAATGGATATAACCAAGTATTAGAGGGGCATAAAAATAGCTGTTATTAAAAGAAAAATTAACCCCAGTCCTTGAGCGCGCCCTGTCGCGAAAGCTCTAATCTCCCGTCGACGGAGAGAGGGAGGGGAAGGGAGGGTAACCCAAGGAAATGCGGGGGGGGGCGTAGGAGGGGTCAAGGAAGAGGGGGGCGTGGGTGGGGGCGGGAGTGCAGTATGAGTTTGGTCTAGTGGCGAGTGGAGCACTTTCGTCTTATCGACTTTTGTGCTTGCAAAATAACATATCCGGCATCCAGCGGCCTGATGTCGCGCAGAGAGAACAATTTGATCGTTTCAAGGAAAAGAACGTGGATTAGCTTTGCTGGGCCCTTTACGAGCACGGGGGAAATTAAATTGTTGATTTAACAATTCAATTGCTAAAGAAAAGTGACTTCAATATTTCAACGTCGATTTCACAACAAAAATATGCTACTTTGACCACTATTGTAAGCTAATTTAACCACGGGAATGGTTAAAGCAGTATTTTTTTTTGTTGTGAAATCTACATTGAAACATTGTAGTCACTTTTTTAAAGCAATTGAATTGTTAAATCAGCAATTGAATTTTTTCGCGAGGGTCTACTATGCTGCAATGCCAAGGAAGAACGTCATATGAGCATCCAGGAGTTGCCGAATTTCCTCCAATAACATGTTTATTTTTGAGGAGAGTTATGAATGTTTCTCCTGATTTTCGGATAATTTAGATCTAATTGAGAATGAAATTCTCTGAAATGTTGGATGAAAAGAATTCGCCGATTTCCCTAAAAATTAGTATTTTATCGAGGAAAATTTGACAACGCCTGCGGATCATATGGCGTTTTTCCTTAGTACAGCATTATGATCACGTAGCCTTTGACACCACCACACTAAGGCAAACGGGAACCAATATACCATATGGAGATAGAGCAAGGGAAAGGACGCGCACGGATGACGGCGCAGAGATACGACTATTCGTGCTTGATGGATGTCCGTGTTGCGTCTGCAAAGTTGAAGGCGCGATAGCTTAATGCGTAAACTCGCAATGCTTCGTTCTATGTTGCCAGTGAGGTGTCAATCGGATTCGGCAGAAAAGTTTAAAAACAAGGCCCTAACACATCTCTTTTGTCTATCGGCTGTGTTGACACTCCATTTTTTCTCCTTTTTTTCAATTTGATACCTGATTCTTTTTTTAAGGATGTATTTTTATACCTAGATCTAAAGCTCGTATTTATAGACGGTGCTCGCGTTTTCAGCAAGCCGCGAGTCACTTTGATCCGGCTTGGGGATCTATAGATTAACTTCCTCATCTCTTAATTTATAAGTTAAAAGCCCCGCGCTTCAAGATATTAGGATACATTTTTATTTTATTTTATTTTAATGACAGTCTTAATAATAAAAAAAAAATGAAATCAGAACTTCGTATCTCAACCAGAGTTCAAACTAGTGTTGTGAGATCAACAATTGAATCCTGACATCGAATTTGTTTTTCATTGAGACGTGCTGTGTTCACAATTATGAATGTAAATGAAACGGCAAAAGAAGAAACTATTATTACCAGATTTTGAAACTTCGAACTGCACTTTCGAATCTGCTTTTGTGATGAGTATCTAGTAATTAGCAGTATTTTTGGTTAAAATTGTCTAAAATGGGTAACAGATTGCTCACGACGTCGCTCTCCGCAGTCAAGGATTGGTCATTTCTAGAGTTGAAAAAAAAAATTCTTCTCGTAATTTAGGCCTCAAATTGTGTTACTATGAACATCACAGCAACTCCTCGAATGAGTTCATGTTAACGCATTTTTCATTGGTAGGAAAGTCATTTAGCTAAAGTGAGTTATTTCGATGAATTGGCCTTTTTTCTTTTGGTCGATTGCGCAAGTATCAATTTAGACTATACGCACTATTACATACGGATCGTCACGCTAAGCTCATGTCACACGATCAAATTTTGCTATCAATATGTCAAGGTCAAGCGCTGTGATTGGTCCAAGTCATTGAATAAGCCAATCACAATACCTGACCATATTTTGATGGCTAGGTTTGATCGAGTGACATTAGCTCCAGACGAACAGTTCCGAGCAGCGCGGAATTCAGCCCACTGTGTGTGGGTTATCTAGCAAGCAGCTCTGACGTCAGCCAGACGCCTTGATCGGCGCGCCAACGCAACCCACATGACGTCACCTCCTGAGTGCTACTGCTACCGCGATCAACAGCCGCTTCAAACAGGTGTTTCTCGTTTAATTACCTCCTTTTCTACATATCCTCTGATAAGCGTGCATGGCTTCCTTACTCGGGCACTTAAAGCTGAAAGCGTAGACCGACAAAGAGCTGAGCAGAAATAGAGCTTTCATTATTTATAAAATAATGGAAGCCTTGCATGGAGCGAGGCTTTTTGATTTGGCTTACTAGACGGATTCAACTTAAAGTCGCCTGAGCACATCTCACGTTCCTTACTTTGCTTTAATATTTTATTTTTCTTTCGACGGAAGAAGTAAGCAACATAACATCTTGAAACGATTCCGCGAATCTTCCATATGCTAACAAAATTTCAAGGCAGAATGTTGTTTAGGAAAATGAAATTTTCCGGAAAGTGTCTGTTGGGAAAAAACAGACATAATTTTCGGATGTAGCAATAAAAAATACAAGGGGATACAGCAATATCATGTCTAAAACTGTTTCCCTTTTTCCTAATAGGAAAGTTTTCTCAGGCAAGCGACAAAATCTGCCTATTTAACCATCATGAAGAACCATTCATCTTATCCACTTTTCTCACATGTAACATTTAGAGTAAATTATTTTTTCTAGTTGTTTAACTGGGCTCTCTCTACGCAATTTGGGCTGCTAACGTTGGGAGTGACTTACGTTTTCCAATTATAAACCGTCTATTCAGAAAATAGTTAGAGTTCCTGATAATTCTTTTTTGGGAGCTTAAAGAAGAAGCATTTTTTGAGAAATTTAATTTAAAAAACGTTTATAATGGGCGATGGAAAGGACCTAAGGTCATATTTTCTGCTTTGGTAGCTGAAAGTACCTACTTAACGCCCCATCAATTGTTTAGAAAAGTGCATTTTTATTCTCAGCTCTCAATACATAACTAACGGATAACATATACACCGGTTACGTAAATGTGCGAATTTCTGGGTTGTCCTCGTCGAGAAATGCGAGACAATTTTTTAAGCCTGCCATGGAAGTATCCCTACGTATTTTTGACCGGTTAATTCAAAAATGATAATAGTTTTTCCTACCATGCTGTAGTCTTTGGAAAATCCCATTTTCCCCATAAATCAATCATGCTATGCTGATGCATCACTGAACGCTAAGATTAGGCATATTGAATTAATGGTAATAACTCCTTGGATGCAACTATTTTCACCCCACGATCATGTGTTTTGCAGATGCGGAGTGATGAAGGCGCGCTGACTTTTTTTTACCCTCATGGTGACGAGCGAGGCGCGCTGTGTTCAATCTAGAGCAGAGTATTCTACGTAATCTCGCCGAGATAAAGCAGAAAGAAGCCCCTTAAATTCGTTGCTTTAAATGAATAAATTTCAACTCTGAGAGCTATGCTTGCAATTTCAATTTCACCCAAGTTATAAGCCTGAAAAAATATGAAAGCAATTTCAAATTCTGCGTTCAGCTTTCTCTACCCAGTTACGTGGAGGATGTTCAATATGTAGGTTATCAAGATAGAAGCTCCCTTGAAATTAAATTTTTACCTCCTACTGCCGGAAGCTCAGTTGAGACCAAAAGTTGAACAAAGAAAATAAAACAAGCAGTGAACTCCAACACAATGTGTTGATAAGGCGCGTCATTAACTCGCACATATCAACCCCTTTAGTTTTCATTTACAGAGATTTCAAAATAGGCAAACAGCATAAAAAGAGAATTCACGATCCAACACTGCGAGGTCAAAGACGCACCTTGACGAGACCGTGTATTGTGAAAGTAGAAAGCTATTCGATCGAATTTAAGTTTTTTGATCTGCCTCAAGCAAAATCTTATCAGATTCTTGAAGAAAAGTGCTACGGAATAATTTAAGCGAAGAAAGGAAAAATTCTGTCGAACTCCTAGAAGATAAAGTCGATTTAAAGGTATTTTGGGGCTAAAATACCCAAATCACCGGTAGTAAAAATCCCGTTATATTATTGAAAAGAAATTGACTCGATATAAATGCAATTGCATTAAATACGTCTTGATTTTGTTATTTTAAACGTCTTTCCATGCAAAGAAGTTCAACCATGTCGTTGCTTTATTCATTCATGAATTGAAAGTAAGCAATCTACATCCCGAAAATCTACTGATTTGCCGTAAAAAATTGCAGAAACTTGATATACCAGGTCGATGCACCCACTCGTTGAATTTACCAACCAATTTTGTGAGTGCAAATGTGTAAGAATCAATATGCTATAGTCATTTTGGGTGCATTTATTTTTCATGAAACAATAATAATTTCAATCCCGAAAAACCATCAATTTTCCGTATAAAATCGAAAAAATCAAAATATGTCAACTCCCCGACGTGAAAATTAGATTCTACGTATGTAAAATGTAAATACTTATGTATCGATATGCTGAACAGAACTATGTGTGGACAGTCAGAAGCCCGCGGCAACATTAATTCAACAGAAAAACTGTAAAAATTAGATAGGATTTTAGCCGCTTTGCCCGCCTCTCCTCGCTACTTACAACAAACCGTTCTTATACTCATCTCAAAATTTTTCTCAGAGCTTTGGGTTATTATCAGCTTCCATTTAAACTCCGGTTCGATGGCCGAATCGGCTGCCAAAAAAGCAAGCCACTGTTGAGGGGTTCTATGAGAAATTCGTGATATTATCGGCTCTCAGGAAATCACCCCATGGCTAAAATTGGTGGTATAAATGTTTAAGTGCTTAAAATAATCGTATTCAAGAAACTAAGGAATTAAACTATGGAGTCAATTTCTTTTTAATAATATAACGAATTTACTACCGGTGATTTAGCTATTATAGCCCCAGAATACTTTTAAAGCGCCTTTGCGTTCCA